TTTAACCAGAGATCCTGGCTCCTGCCAGAAGTCTGCTTGATGTCTAGTTACTCTTTTTGTGTGGTAAGCTTATGCCTTCATACATATACCTCATTTCAAGAACTGTGTAGCAACTTGGATTTCCAGCCAGAGTAAGTTAAGTACTCAGGCAAGGGGTTTGACTTAACTTTTATAAGCCTTCTTTGATTTATTGAGGTTCAGCTGTTGACAGAAGCACTTCAGCATAATGAGATAAGGCACCCACTAAAATAATTCCTTGTCAAAGCTCCATGAATGGGAAGCAGTAAAGGATGTATTATTTCACAACTTGTAAATGCATGTTCCAGATTTAAAAGGAAGAAAGTATTATAGGTTGAATTTTTTACATACACTGCTTGTGCCTTTCCCATAATCCATCAGCCAGCAATGTTGGTTGTAGCCATGTTGGTCTAAGGACATAGGCAGGCAAGATTCTTTGAGTAGAGGTGATATCTTTTATTAGACCAACCAAAGCCAGTGATAGTAATAAAAGGTAAATTAGCACCTGTGTTTCCTGCCTTTGTAGATTTCTTTTACATCTGTTGATTGTAAATCTGTGTGTAAAGAAAGTCAATAAAAAAAAGTCAGAAACAAAATAATACATGCATTTGTTTCTTCTGTTGGTATTAATTTGTTATAAGATTCTTGGTTCTGCCAAGGAAGAACTCACTTAATATTGGAGCTCTTTTCTCCTCGTGTAAATGGATCTTTCCATTTTTTTCCCTAAATAAAAGTAACACTATACAGTTGAAATATAGTAATTTAAAACCATTAGAATGTCTTTGCCAGTGTTTGTGTTTTTATAGTGACATTTTCCTGTGTTTGTAAAACACACCTTTCTTTTCCCTGTTGCTGTATGAAAGGCTAACACAAACAATAAAGGATGCTAGTTGGCTGGATAGGGGGAGCACACGCATAGCATATAATAATATACACAAAGTCCTGTCATACGTGAAAACTATCGAATTAGAAAAAAATGAGAGAAGTATTTTTTTCCGCTAGCCCATTTTAGTCATAGTAACTGAGGGTGCTGCAAACAATTGTGAATGTGAAAAAAAACTCTAACAGGTAAGTGTGATTTTTAATTTGATGGCATTGCTTTAATACCAAATGAGACCTTATTCATTTTGTGTGTGAATTAGAGAGAGCATGCATTGTTTATCCATATACTTTTTCCCCCCTAAAAATAGCAGATGCTTATTTTCATAAATGCTAATGCTGCAGAGCTTGATATTCCAAAATGCCTCAGAAATAAGTGAAGCATGGAACTTGTCATGTACGTGAATTGTATTGCTAAAGGGGAAAAAGTGTTGGCTGGAGCCCCATCTCTTGTACCAAGTGTGTGATTCAGAAACCAAAAAGCATTAAGCCAAGAATAAAGTATTTTTTTTGTCAGCCAAATCCGTCTAATGTAATCCAAAATAAGAATTTTGGATCCTAATCTTCAGGCTTTACTTGCCTGAGTAAGGATTACTCAGTTTAACTAAGACTCTTTATTACTAAGATTCCTTTTTGAAGCCTAAAAAAAAAATAAAAAAATTGCAGTTATTGGACCAGATCTTGTACCTCTTATTCTCATGAGTTACTTATTCCCCTTTTTATTTCTATACAGTAGTGATCACCAACCAGATCTTGGGGCCTCTTGCGGTACATCTCAGAGCCTCTTGGAGTCTATCTGAGGCTGGGGTGGGGGGCTGAGTGCTTGCATACATGCCCTGGCTGGGTGGGACTTACCTGCTGGGGACATGCACCCCCAAATAATATTTTCTCCCTTTGCCTTGATCTGCACCCCCCCTTCCCTTCTCAGACTTACCTGCTGGGCAGGAGCTCATGGTAGGTTTTGGGTTGCTTTTAAATGCCAAAGGTGATTTCCTACTTTGAAAGGTTGGAGACCACTGCTATACAGTATTCATTCAAAATATATTTTAATGCACATAGTTCATTGGAATTCTTGGGATAATGGGATTTTTCATTTCTGGAGAGGTAGTTTAATTCCAATTTAGACTGTGGTGCCTAAAAGTTATGCCATCTAACTGCAGTTGTGTGAACAGTCAAAAAGAAATGAGTGGTCTGAATTGAATTCTCTGCTTGGAAGATTTGGGTTAAAAATGAGACTGTTTGTTTTATGTTGTCATTTTTTTTGTAATTCATGTCTTTCTGTGGATAGCAAGTTTTGGGCCTGATTCTCAGTTCATAATGGAGTTGTGCTTATTTCCAGATGTTGGCAAGCAGGCCAAGTACTGTTCAAATTGTAAACCAGATTGACAATATACATTATGATTTGATTGAATGCACCAGGTTATGGTCCCTCCCCCCTCGCATCGTTTTGTTCTACCTTTTCAGAGAATGGCACAGTCTGCTTCCAAAACAGGAAACTTGAAATTTTTGTGAGATATGGTTTGCTGCTTTGGGAATTAAGCAGAAAACCCAAAGAAATTACATTCACACAGTTGCAAACAGTGCAATGCAAGCTATTGTATCTAGTGAAAGTGTTTTATAATATTCATAGTCTACTTTAGAAAAAATAAAGGTATAATATCTTCAGCGGAGAAGTCCTATTGGTATATGTTCTCTCATACTAACTTTTAAACATTACAGTTTATCAGGACTAGAATTACATATAAAAATATACATTTACTTTTTTTTATTTCTGTAGCTCTTGGCTAAAATGTCAATACCATATGCGTGTTGTCATTTTACTTGTCTATCAGCTGCAATTGGCTATTGTCGATATATAATCTGTGGAGCATAAATATTCTGCGGGGCAGTCGATTTACAATAGTTCCCCAGCCTAGATTTCATCTACAGGTTATTGTTTAAACCGGTGGTATGAAGCATATGGCTCATGCAGGCATGTCATATGGCTTGCAGGGCTAGTAGAGGGGCTGGGAATTGGAGGGCATTGCCACCTAACTAGGGCATAGAGTCCTGTTGGGCATTTATGTTGGCAGTGGGGGACAAGTGGTGGCTGCATTACCCACTGTCATTCACCCTGCCTCCATGTCCAATCTGTCAGGAGCCTTGGCTGGGGGCAGGACATCCCTGATCAGTAGCAGGAATTGGGCAAGGGGCATAGTGTGCATTTCCCCCGCTTCCCCAACTCCAGTTTTGTTTTATTGAGCATATGTAGTGAACTCCGAGATCACCAGCTGATCATGAAGTCTGGCCAGGTGTGCCCAGAAACTCTGCTTTTGTGCAGCTGTGGAACCTGGGGGTGAACGCTGCTGCTGTTCACTTTCTGCTCCTTCCCCCTCCCTGCTCAGTTCAGCAGCAGAGGTAAGGTGGGGCTGAGTAGCAATGACAGCTTTTGCTCTCTGGGCTCTAGAGCCTCGCAAAAGCAGCAGCTCTGGGAAGATTTTCATACCGAAAGCACAAGCTCAAAGGGGTGTTGTGACTGCACTGCCTCACCTCTTCCCCCCCAATCCTCCCTGGGCATGGAGCATATGGACCTCTGTCCCCTGTCCAGCCAGTCTGCAGCATTGAAGCTGCTGCCTTGCCATTCAGCATCACCAATGCTGCTGCTGTGTGGCCTGGTGGGTTGCAATTCCACATGCTGTGCTCCAGGGAGGGAATAAAATGTGAGCAGCATCCATCTGACATTAAGGGGATGGCAGGGAAGAGGCAGAGATTAGAGAGTTGTGGGAGAAAAGACAGAGACTATGAATGGGGTGGAAAAGCAGGTGATAGGGAGAAGTGTGGGGAGCAGATGGCAAGCAGGGTGCCTGCCTCCACCTGGCCACCAGACTCCCCCTCCGCCCCCCCGTCACCCACTGCTTCCCCGATTTGGGGGGGCGGACAACAAATTTAAGACAACACTCCAATTATTAGATTGTATACCTGTAAAATTATAACAAATGCATACATTTTCCCTTATGTAGAATCTAATTATTGAGGTGGTTGTCTTAAATGTTAGGTTATGTACAATTTGAGTTTAAAAGAACTATTCCACAATTCTGAAGACATTAGATTCCATCACCTTTTAATTATTTTTAAAATTTCATTCTTCATAATTTCTTTATCATCCCAGTTGTCCTGAAGTATTTCCTGTTTCACTGAAGGAAGTAGAGAAGTTTTTCTTCCACCAATTATCCTTTTGCTTTTCCTCTTCTGTTATTTCTGCTGTTGCTTCATCGTTTTATTGTCTCCCTATGCCTTTGGTCAGGTTTTCCACTCTGAATTAACCACTCTTCTGTTTCCTCACATTTTGCATCCCTGGTTGTCTGTTTTCTGAGGACCTCTCTGCTTCTGCTGCTTTCCCTTCATTCCTTGCCACCACCCTTCAGATCTGTGAATTAGATGACTTGGATCAGAACATTAAGCCCAGCACTAAGCTCTGCCCCACTGATTCTTCTGTGCTGGCCTCTAGCTGTAGTATCGTGGTCTGGGTTTAATCAGTAACAATGTCTATTGATTGCTGAACTCTCCTTGTTCTCTAATGTCTCTGAACAGATCTCAGATGTGTGGCAGTTAACATTTGTGAAAAGTTAACACTAATTCTTATCTGCAACAGGTGAAACATGCCCCAGCAGCCTTGTTTTAAAGGCTTTTTCTGTATATGCGTTTTATCAGCTAGAGCAGTTTTTGGTTTTTAAAAAAAACAAACCACAAAACAAAAACTTAATAGGGTGCTTGCAGACGTAAAGCACCAGTTTTTTTGGTGTTTTACTTTAAACTTTGTGCATTCCCATACTGAGCCTTGTGCATGCCCAGAAGAGGCAGCACATTACTTGAACCTAGTTCACCTGGTGCCTGTAAAGATTGGATGCTTAGTGGGACTGTTTGATGCTTCTATCTAATTGCTGATTGAATCAGCTTTAGCTAGAAGTGCCAAAAAGCCCCACTGAAGTTCCTTGATTTTTATAGACATTGCAGAGCCTGGCTGAAGCGCTGCCTCTTTTGGTAAAGCGGGTTTTTTCTGTTTGAAAAAAAAAAGTGTCTGCAAGCAGCCATAATTACCAAGAAAAGCAGCCAAAGAAACTGAGAGGAATATTCATTAAAAGGGCATCGGTGAGATGTTTTTGTATTCATTGTTAACAAAAATCTGTTTCAAGTGTGCATGCAAATATGAAAGCTGTTTCTCAGCTTTAAACAAACAAGCTGATATACAAAACCAATCTTTAGAATTTTTTTTTAAATGAGGCCAGAATAACATTTGTCATGTCGGTTGGCTATAATGTTTGATTAAAGTTAAGAAAATTCACTCTTTCAAAGTAAGTGCTGTTGAGTAACAGGTTTCAGTGACTTATTCTTAGCACTAGATTTACTTCACATGTATAGTGTGTAAGAGGGCCATTTATAGCAGGGAATAACCTTTTCTATTTATATTAGAACAGTGGTACTTGTCAGAACCCAAATTTGTGGATTTTTTGATTGTGTGTGCTTCGGCCCCACTAAATTATGTTCCCGCCGAATTGCAGCTCTTTTGCATGACGGAGTGTTCCGTTGTTATAGAGACCCCGCGTGCAGAAAAGTGTTTCCCGCCGTTTTGTAGCCTTCTTTGCATTGTGCATTTCTCTTGCATTTAGTGATGCACGCTGCAAAGGAGTTCCCGCCATTTGTATTGAGATTTGAGCCACATTATTGGCCGGTCTTAATTTAGGCACACGTGGCGGCTAGCTATTGGCTTGCTAGCCGTACAAAAGGCTTGGGTGGTTTCTGCCCAAGTTGGAGAGGAAGATGGAGAGAGAGAGACGGATCTCTAAGCGCTGTGGGTCCTTTCGAACCCAGTGCGTCTTTCTTAAGAAGGCGATAGAGGCTCCAATTGCCGAACCCCCGGAGCCTAGCAAACTCCGGGGCACCACTTACCGACGGCCTCTAGCCTCTTTTTTTTTTTTTTTTTTTTTTTTTTTTTTTTTTTTTTTTTTTTTTTTTTTTTTTTTTTTTTTTTTTTTTTTTTTTTTTTTTTTTTTTTTTTTTTTTTTTTTTTTTTTTTTTTTTTTTTTTTTTTTTTTTTTTTTTTTTTTTTTTTTTTTTTTTTTTTTTTTTTTTTTTTTTTTTTTTTTTTTTTTTTTTTTTTTTTTTTTTTTTTTTTTTTTTTTTTTTTTTTTTTTTTTTTTTTTTTTTTTTTTTTTTTTTTTTTTTTTTTTTTTTTTTTTTTTTTTTTTTTTTTTTTTTTTTTTTTTTTTTTTTTTTTTTTTTTTTTTTTTTTTTTTTTTTTTTTTTTTTTTTTTTTTTTTTAAAAAGAGAGAGAGAGTTGTATGCAGGAACCTTTTTTTTTTTTTTTTTCCTCGTGTTTTGTTGCCTTTGAATACTAGGAATAGCCTTGGAGTGTAGGAACTCCACTGCAGCAACCTACCTTTAAGTAACTGAATCTAATAAAATGCAGAGATGGGTCCAAGTCTTTAAATGGTGATCCAGACCCAGACTTCATCAGTTTTAGTTTGGGTCCATATCCAATATTTGTTAGGCCCAGCACTAGTGAAAATAATTTAAAAAGCAGCCTTGTACCACATTTGATTTAAAGTCTTTAATTTCTAGCAGCACATTCAGTGTCTCTTGCATTCTGTTTAAGTTGTTATGCAGCTCTTGCTGCATCTGCTGGTCATGCAGAAACAAGTTTTCTGCAGAATTAGGCTTTTTTTCTACTCATACAACAAATTAGGTGTCTAGTTCATAAAGAATAGCACTTGATTTTTTTTTCAGAAAGCTATGAAGGCAATCAAGCAATGTCAGGAATGGTGGAAGTTTTAGCAAAATCAAAATGAAATACGTTTTTATGTAATATTTGACATTAAGGTTGGGTATTTGTGTGGTCAAAAATACTTGATCAGTTGACCAGTCAAGTACTATCAGATATTGGTCAAATACTATATGGTAAAAGAAGAGCCAAAATCGTAACTCCAGCAGCCCCACTTCGCTTAATATGGGAAAGGAAAAGGAGATTGGAAGAGCTCAGAAGAGAGAAACAGGGCAGAGGGTGCCTGTTTCGACAGATGGACAGACCTGAGCTCTCACTCTATGATGCAATAAAAAGAGCAGGCTGCCACATACACAGGGGTGTTGTTGGCTTCATGGAATATTTGCCAGTTTTGACTGGTCAAATAATCGGCTGTCAGTTGATCAGTCAGTTGGAATTACTTGATTGGTCAAATGTCTAGCTTCCCTACGCTGTTTGTTGCAGTTCATATGTTCTTGCCTTTGTTACTTTGGCCATCAGCTGCAGGTAATCAAGATCTGATTATGAGTTTCATGGGCCTCCGTCCTCAGAAGAGTTTAAATCTATTTTATGGAAAGGTCCTTAGAGAACAGTGTATCCTGTGAATGACAAAAGAAAGCCTCAAAGAGTCCAAATTTACATATGCTATATGTGGCATGTGTGTCCCTTGCTACTTCAGTAATCACAATTTAATTTGAGACCACATAATTGGGTGCTAAACAAATGAACCGTTAGCAAACTTACAGTGTCCACAAGGTAAGGCAAAGTGCATGTATACAAGGTAAAGAACACAATAGAAGATTGTGTAGAAAGAGAAGCCATCAAGACATTTGTAAAGGTTAGGCAGATTCCCTACTAACTTTATCAAGGACTCTTATTTGTCTCACTTCTGATGTTTTCAGTACACCATGATCATTGGTGCCAAATACCAAATTGAGTCACTCATGAAGATGTCATGTTAACTCTCATTTATCTATAGTTTCCTAGGCAGAAACAGCTATATATATTATTTTCCCCTTCCTCCTCTGCCCCATCCTTTCCTGCACCCTCATAAAAAAAGTTCTTGGTCTTTATACAGGAAATGGTTATGGGTCATACTCCACCCTTTCATATTGCAGAAAAGGGTTTGTAAAAAGCTGCGTTTAAATTGGTCAACATGAACTTCAGCTCATCAGAATGAGATAGGAGCTCCAAAATGGAGGGGCTTTGCAAACCATTGAACAGGGCCGTCCTGTCCTGCGAAACCTGTGGCTGGCGGGGGGCCCCCGCCGCCGGGGACCCCCCTCCTGGGGCGGCGGGGGCCCCCCTGCAGCCGTGAACACTCTGGCGCCACCCCAGCCCCCTGTTGCCACTGCTGCCGGCTTCTGTGGGCACTTGCCACTCCCTCTCCCGATGGCTTTTGTGTCAGGGGGCCCCAAAACAATATGGGCCAGCCCTGCCATTGAACATGGATGCCTTGAGGAGTTGTAGGCAGAAAGGAGGCCTCTAAAGTTGCCATCTCCTCATGCATTAAGGGCCATAAAGATTATACTCTGCCATTGAAATTAATCTGGTTTGAGAAAAAAGGCTACTACTTGATTGACATAGAGTGCTTCTGTTTACAGGAATCGTAGGCATTTTGGAGTAGTACGTGAGGTTTTGCACTAGTAGTCTAAGCAGTTTTATGTTTGGGAAAACCCCCCAAAACGAAGCCACTAGAAGATCGTGCTACAAAAAGAAAAAATTGCATCTAATAATGAAAAAATGAACAGCAGCATGTGGAACGGTTAAACATTGAAAACAGGAAGCAGGTAGGCAAGAGATGGCAAGACAGGTCTGTAGAATTTGCTGTTTTTGTTAGTGTTGGAATGATGTAGCTATGAAGAATGCATTGCATTTGAAAGCTTGTCCAAGTCTATCCCAACCAAGCAGCTGGTCCAATAAGAGAGATCACCCACAAAATTAATTGGTTTTATTAGAATACTTGCAATGCAAACAAGCACATTCACCCTTTTTATCATTTTCCCTGACAATATTTTACTATATTGTTATTTCTCAACCGTTTTTGGCTTGAGGCACCCCTTGCTAGAATTGAGGCATCCCTTGGAAAATGCCATCTCTTAGTTTTCACTCGTTTTTTGACTATGGAAAAATAATAGCGGATTTTTCTATTGCAGAGTACTCAGAATGCCCCCAGGCCAGAATATTTAAAAAATAATTCATTCCTATTTGAAATCTCTGGGTTTATTTTATAAATTTGTTTGCCCAACTTAAAGTTGTAACAGTGTGGCATACCACAACACCCACAAAAGGATCTCAAGGCACTATAGGGTGCTCTAGCACCCTGGTTAGAATCATTGTGCTAAAGTTTTAGGAAATGTAGTCTTGTAACCTTTTACAACAACACTGCTCTGAATCGCAGTATTCTAACCCTGTTCCTTCTTTAGCCACAGTACATTTGGAGTACTAGTTCTGGTCTTTAGCACTAGAAGAGCATTATAGTCTTAAAAGTCTAGTGACTTAGGTAACTGGATCTTCTATGCCAACACAGATAGATTTTACATTTTAAACAGTGGCTAAAAAGGCATTTTTTTAAAAAGGTTTTTATTTGGTATTTATCAAATGATTTATCATTTAAATTAATAAGAATTAGGTATCACTTGTTGAAATAATTGTTGACCGTGTATCCCCAGGTAAATAAGGAATTTGTGGGCATCTTTGTGTGCTCTGGGGGTGGAGGGGTTTAGTTAGAGCAGCTCTTGGGAGCTGCTCTGAAGCACCCACAGTGTCTCCTATCCTTCACTTCAAAATGCTAGCAGGGGTGCTTTAACTAAAGTTCTTTCAAGCTGAACACGCACGACGCCGAGGTTGTTGGAGCATGATAATTAGCACACTCCAGCAAACTCGATTAATTGAGTCTGCTCCAACACACGCTAATTAACATGCATTGGAGCAGGTGTCCAGACATGTATAGTTTCTAATTAAGGCATTTTAAATACTTTTGGAGAGATGGAGGACTGTTGCAGTTGATTATCCTGGAAAATGTATGTAACATACTATTGTTGTTTAGTAGTAAAGGAGGTTATTGTAATCCAGGGTCCCCGATTCTTTTTCATTGACACAGATTCACTGCAGGTTGACTTAATTATAGTACTGTAAAGAAGTGAGGAGAATCCGTCCCAAGAAGTGGGCAAGGAAGATCTTCCTTATATACTAGAGAGATCAGAGTAACAGGGGGCTTTATTGGGGCCTGTCTGTCATTGGCCTGCCCACCTGTTTCTGGGCCAACCGCCTACCTCCTCACCTTGATGATATATAATTATGTTGTTAATTAGGCAGCAGACTGCCCAGTCTAGCTGTGATGCCAGGGGGA